TTGAAACGATGTCGAGGGAGAAAAATGTTCAAAAATATTCAAAAATATTCAAGGCTATCAAGATAGTATATTTATACAAAAGTGGAACTCTATCCAGGGTTTACTTTACAGTCATAAGTCCACATCCATCCCTTGCGGCTTGACAGGCGCGTTTTAATGCCTGTTCTTCAGTATCCGTCCATTTCACGGTGAGTTCATCCCAAGGCTTTCTGTTTCGGAACTCCTCGTTATAAGTTCTGCGCATAGCCTGTAGCCGTGTTACCTCTCGGGGGTCGCCAGTGCCTGAATATATAATGAAAAGCGTACATGGAGGTAGATGATCCCATATCTCTTTTATACAAGAAACGGTTTTAGCAACAGCCCGTCCAAGTTCGTCTGGGTTTGCCGGGCTAATGATATCCTGATCTGATATATTGATGGATTTGTTATTCTGGCTTGCACCGGGAATGCGGTTGCACCACCCTCGGGAGATTTCCAGGTTGCGCAGTCGTGCCCAAGTGAAGTCAACGCCATCTCCCGAGACTATTTTGCCCGTCGGATCTCCGCTGACAGCAATCTTGGTTGATCTAACAACTTCTTCGTCATTGGCGCAGCCCAGAGTGACACTAGCCTGGGCACCGAAACCGCGTTCAGGGCTGCCCCAGTCGACCACTGCTCCTGTTCGTCCTCCTTGCGAGACAGGGCCGGAGGATTTTACTGGCCTTGAAGACCTAGCAAGGCGTTGGAATATACTCTCGGTTGAAGCTTCGTTGGTACCCCACGCTTCACCCTTTTCGCATTTCTGCTTCACAAGATCTAACACTGCCTTTGCATCTTCAACCGGATCATGGCCAGCCATTCCCTTTTGAATTTCTCTTCCCAGGTACCTCTGACATAACCATTTGAGACTTGGCTTCAGAGGCGGTCCTCGTGGATGCGGATATATAGAGGCTGTATCGACGATGAACGGATGCGTTAGTTTCAAGGCGTTGAGGTCGGAGTTAAGAGAATGTCCAATTAATATCGAGCGAGGCGTCAAAATTCCAAGTAATTTCTGTTGTACGTCGGATAAATTCGTAGTAACTGGATCGAGTTTTTCTTTAGTAACACCGGAGAAGCGTGTTAAATAATCTATTATGGGGTTTTCTGGTTTAACGAACTCATCTAGGACTCGTTCACCGTCCCATGAGACAAGACTAATTCTGGTGAGCTCAGATTTACCACCTTCAGTGATGCACATTTCACAGTCAAGAGCAAAAATATCGCGGCCAGCGGTTACGCTGCCTTCCGCTATATCACAATCAGGTACAGCACCTTGGGCAAAATCGTCAACATGAGTATCCACCCATCCATGCTCAGTGGATTGCCCATTCATGGCGCGTAGTCGAGCATTTTTGTCTCTTTCCTCAGCTGAACTGAAGAGTGCAGGGTGCAAAGGATATTCATGTTCAATCAGATCATCAAGTGTGCTCAGAAAAGTGGTAATGGGTGTCCGTTGGGATACCCAATTTCCGGGTCCCTTGGACTTTTTGTTATTATTGTTGTTATTTTCCTTAGATTTAGGCAAGGAAGATCTTAAGATCGCCTGAAGGGGCGAATGAACCTTGTTGTATTTTGAGTCCCCAGGGGACTTGACTGGCCAGACATGCGGAAACATGTCTGCAAGAGGCGATAAAGCCTCTGGCAACTTATCCTTATGGATAGCTCTGGGAGCAAACTGGCGGGAAGTTTCCTCACTGATGGGAGACACCCCACGTTTCCAGCGTTCAAACTCGCTGGATTTCTTTGCATCTTCTCCAGATTGGCTATTGTCAGCTGCGGCATCGGGTACCTCAGGGGTAGGCGTTTCTGCCCCCTTGGACAACGGGATTGATCCATCGAACATTCCCAGCTCCAGACCCGGAACCATAAGCATAACAACTTTTCTTACATGTCCAGAGTGCTTTACTGATATCCATTGCGGTGCAACAGCATCCGCAAGACAGTACAATAACAATCCCTGCAAGTCTGAAATTTTGATGGACGACTGTCTCCCACCCATTGCATATGTCAAGGTCGGGTACTTTGTTTTCTCGTTTCCTATTCGTTTTCGCTTCTTTGACGTGTGGTCAACCATCTGCCACCCCCCAGTCTGGTCCTTTCCTTCTCCGCCTGAGGTGTCCTTGGGCAAGGCTGGTTCTCGAGGTCCGTCACCGTCACGAAGGAGAGATAGCGTATCCGCTAGGCCAAAGCCGTTGCCGCCATGACTGGTGGCAGCAGTTACATCTGAGCCGTCTGGCTGCGCGTCGTCTGAAGCAACATCGTCATGTTTTCGCTTTCTTCCCATCTCAAGGCCTCCTAATCGTTAATGCTCCGCGGCGTCAGGGGTAGCATGTGTAAACCGCAGCGTTTGGACTCTGGACATGGGTCTTCTAGACACGTATCTCTCTCGCTGAGTCTGCGTCTGCGTCTGCGTCTTCGTCTCTTTGGCTTCTTCCAAGTCGCATCTCGAACGTCCAAGAGAGAAAAATTAAGAGACGGAATGATGACTAAATGAGATGAGTAAGCATATATCACGTGCTAAATCTCCGCTTTTCTTTCGTTTCTTTTTCGTTTCTTCTTCTTTTTGGCTTCAACCGCGAAATTGTTACTTCTACGTACACGAACTCCCAAACGCTTGAGCGGGATAAGCAACACGGCACGGCTGGTGGACTGGAATGAAGTATATGGAATACTTAAAACCCCTGCTCGGTGTTGATTGTCTGGAAGGGGCCCGTTCAGCATGCCTAGGTGCGCTTCGGGCTAGGGGAACGCGGCCGTTCAAGGATATCATTACGAATGATAGCTACGCAAGCAGTTAAGCCACCATTGGTGAACAATCCGGTACAGCGGTGGAATCCCAATTCATCTTCGCTATCAGTGGGCGATATCTGCCTCTGTTATCAGGAAGCAGGAGCTGCATGTGAAATTCAACAAAGGACCCTTGAGCCAATTCCTGCGCTAAGGATGTCTTAGCTTGCTTCTCTGGCTTGAAGGTTGGCTGCGAGGTCAGGGATGCAAAATGCCCCGTCCTCTTCCTCCTTCTTGGGATGCAAAGGCGAGCAACTGCAGTGATCTAAAGCCGAAAATGCTGGGCTATTGGCCTGTATGGAAGATCCTGCATGTTTACAACTGGGATTCACCCAAAACGTTGACACCTCCCAACCCCTCTTTGGTTGTACACCATGGGCATGGGCTGCGCATGTCACGCGAAGGAAGTAACTGGTAGTATTGCAACTACGGGACAATTGAACATGCCTGGAACCACACACGCCCGTATGATTACCTGATGGTGCCGCGACGATTGGCCGGATTGAAAAGGCCATGTATGTTTCACAGGGGTACATCTGGACTATACATGAATCTATGGAATACATAGTATAATCTCTTATATCTGCAGCGAAAGGCATTAGGCCTCATCTACCTACAGGGATTATCGGCGTTGTGCCCTCTCTAGAGGTCATCTCCCTACTCCGTCCTAATGGGAAAATTAATCCATCGTGACCTGGGATGGTTGCATTCACCTGTTCCAAGCTAACATCGCTAATGGGTTGTATAACATTTAGATAAAATACACCGGGTAGAGATCCCAGCTTTCCTACTCTCCGTTCCTCTCGCCGATCGGTCCAATGGACTTCAGATGCTGGGGAATTTGAGCCATTCAGTGGAAGCCCCGTGGGGAAGAACAAACGTTGGGCATTGCCAGCCTGCCGCCTTCGAAGTGGCGCAAAACCCTGGTCCTGCGATAAATCCCATCCAGATGAGGTATTGTCTTGTGAAACCTTCTATTAATTTACGTGGATTGTTACTTTGTGTCCATCAGTGGCATTTTCGCTAAACCTCCCACCCGTTAAAGAATTCTTCTTTGGTTTCAGTAACGACAACAACAACCCTGGGATGGTGAAACAGTGGCAAACGCACATCGGCCGCATACTGCTAGCTAACAAAGCTGGGGAGTCGATTGCCCATCGAATATAGGAGTCCTATCGATCAACAAGGTCACGCAACTTACACTCCTCTTATATTCATTACTAACAGAAAAGCAAGGTTGCCAAAAAGCTTCGGCATTTGACGCTAACCCTGGCTTTGCCTTACCTCTACGCGAGCCCGAGCCGTCCAGGGGCTGTTGCTATTTGCCTCCTTCCTCGACGATTTAAGTTGTCGGGTGACCGCACCAAAGGTCCAAAGCACACCCCTGCGTATCTGGGGAAATAACCCTCAGGGATTAATCTCCTATCCTCCATTTTGTTGCCTTAGGCCTCGCTAGAAGACGCTGAGCTCAGACCTAACGTAACTCCAATGTAAATTACCCATGTGTAACCGGCATATGGAGTGACAACGGCTTGCTTTCTCGTTTGTTGGGCCCGTGGACTACAGGAACTCGCTGTTGAGCCATGTTGCCTACCTATCTAGCCACATATGACTCCAGTTACCGGTATCAGGAGCATCGACGATCATCTAATACCCGCCCAGTATTTGACGATAAGAAAGTGGGAACATCTTGACTAGCTACATTGCACCCGCCTTCTTATCATGGTTTGTGGGACAAAAAATGCATACATGCTTTTTTGAGATGTCCTCCGCGGACCGCCACCCCTGTTGTGGACTCAAGAGCACATTTGGGGGAAATAAGGGACTGGGGGTTCGGACACGAGAACAGACGTGATGGCCAGCAGGGTCTCTCCCAATTTGATCCTTTTTGGATCCTATATCCCCAGCATCTATGACCCCGCCTTTGATACTGCACTACCTAAATTCGTGTTGGTTTGGTCTCTCCTAGCGCCATATACAATGCTTGAAGCTACATTGAGGTGATATCAAAGTACAATGGTTGATGTGAGAACGGTCCTAGGGTAGCAGTTGCAGCTTCCTTTTCTACCCGGGTATATGATACCCGTCTACGCTCCTCCTCTGAACTTGACGGAGCGTTTAACATCTATGTCTCTCATTCTTTCGTCATTGTCTTTCTACACTTCGCTCCATCGGCCGTTTGCCTACCGAGAATGCCTTTAAACATTCCCTTCCTTCGAGGGAAGGCTTCTCCTCCAGAGAATACTGTTGGGGAGCCCATTGATCATGCTATAACTACGTCCTCTTCGGAGAAGGAGAATGCAAAGTCCACGGGGATAGAGATTTCCGATGTTGAAGCAAATAGGAGGTTGGACCTGTACCATCGCACCCACAAATGGGACCCTAACCTCGGGGATGATACTCTTGATGAGGTTGCGACTGCCACCGCATTGAATGACTCCAATGCGCAAAGTAAAATCATTGACAGAGTTATTGATAACTCGCCCTACCCAGAGGTATATCATTCATAGATCCATTGTTTGTTTCGAATCTAACATTCTGGAAGGTTAGGGCTGCTGTGCGAAACTACGACGAAGAGCTCCCTGCAAGTACATTTCGCGCGTGGGCTATTGGAATGCTTTTGACGACTATTGGTTCTGGGCTCAACAGTTTGTTTTCTCTCCGAGCGCCGGCCATTATCATTACTTCGGTTGTCGCCCTACTTGTTTCGTACCCAATTGGTGTTGCTTGGGCCAAAATCGTACCATCAAGGACTTTCAATACTTTCGGGCTGAAATGGAGCACCAACCCAGGTCCGTTCAATGTCAAGGAGCATGTATTGATTGTTGTCATGGCCAATGCGTCGTTCGGCAACGGTGTTGCATACTTTACCGATACTATCCAGGCACTAAAAGCTTTCTATCACACTGACTACGGTGAGTTGATTATATCATGCTTCGAATACGATATATGCACTACTAACACAGAATGTTTAACTAGGCTGGGGATTTTACGTATGTCTTGCTCTTAGCACCCAAATCGTTGGTTTCGGAATAGCTGGTATTGTTCGCAAGGTCCTAGTTGAGCCAGGTATGTGAAGTATAATTATCTATTATCTCTGGCAGACCTAGAATTGACTCTTCTCCAGCTTCCATGATTTGGCCACAGGACCTGGTCAGTGCTACGTTCATCTACACCTTACACGATAAATCAGCAACCAATCCTGCCGAAACCAATGGATGGAAGATCGGTCGTTATCGATATTTCCTTTACGTTTTCTTGGGGTCTTTCTTTTGGTACTGGTTCCCAGGCGTAATTGCCCCGTGCCTAAGTGTTTTTGCCATTGTTACCTTTATAAAGCCGAAAAACGTTATCCTCAATCAACTATTTGGTGGCTGGACTGGCCTTTCACTCATCCCCATAACTTTTGACTGGACTCAGGTGACAGGTATGTGAGAGCTTTTCCCTCATGCTCCTGACCGTAAGCTAACTAGTTACTCGTCTAGGTTACATCCAAAGTCCTTTAATTGCCCCTTGGCATGCGATAGGAAACACTCTTATTGGAACCATTGGCTTGTTCATCTTTGTTACTTGTGGACTGCACTATTCCAACCACTGGTATGCGCAGTACCTCCCTATCAGTGATTCGACTACATACGACAACATGGCAAAGCCGTATAATGTCTCGAGAATATTGAGTCCTGACTTCACTCTTGACGAGGAGAAATACAAGGTTAGACTACCCCGACTTTACTAAAATGCTTGATCTAACTAAGACTAGGCGTACTCCCCCCTCTTCCTATCGACCACTTTCGCCCTGACTTATGGATTATCATTTGCCTCCATTGCAGCAGTCGTCACACACACTGCCCTATTTCACGGACAACACATATGGACAGTTATCAGGGACAGCCGAGGCGAATTGGACGATGTCCACACCCGTATGATGAGGAAATACAAGAACGCCCCCTGGTGGTGGTACATAACCCTTCTCGCAGTTTGTGTTGCCCTTTGTCTCGTCACCGCTCTTGCCTGGCCTACACACCTCACCTGGTGGGCCTTACTACTTGCCCTTTTCATTTCCCTGGTCATGACTATCCCCATTGGTGTGGTTCAAGCAACGACAAATATCCAGTTGGGATTGAATGTTTTCACCGAATACATCATCGGCTACATGCTTCCGGGAAGGCCACTCGCCATGATGTTGTTCAAGACATATGGTTATATCACCATGGTTCAAGCCCTTTCATTCGTACAAGACCTAAAACTTGGTCATTACATGAAAGTTCCTCCGCGATCACTGTTCTGGGGACAGCTTGTTGCCACGATCTGGTCGTGCATTGTTCAACTCTGTGTCCAGATCTGGGCTTTGGATAACATCGCCGATATCTGTCAGCCACACCAATCCAACCGGTTCACCTGTCCTCAGGGAAGAGTATTCTTTGGTGCGTCTGTGATCTGGGGTGTCATTGGCCCTGCACGTATGTTCTCTGGCAACGCACTCTACTCTAGCCTCCAGTATTTCTGGATCGTTGGTGCACTCAGCCCTTTGCTCTTCTATGCACTAGCCCGCATATTCCCTCGTTCAAACGCACGATTTTTGAGCGCACCCGTCATCTTCGGCAGTGTACTATACATCCCTCCCGCCACTCCATTGAACTATGTAAGTCTTCGCTCAAGTTATCTCAATGACGGTGTTTATGCTAATCTCATCAATAGTTTGCATGGTGTATGGTCGGCTTTGTTTTCCAGAAGTATATTCGCAATAGGTTCCGTGGCTGGTGGATGCGCTTCAATTACATCACCTCTGCGTCCTTGGATGCAGGCTTGGCTATCTCGACCATTGTTGTCATTGCAGCTATCAATTTGACCGGCTCCAAGTTCCCGTCTTGGTGGGGTAATACTGGTTCTATGGAGACACTGGATAACTTGGGTGAGGCAATTCGACAGCCTTTGGCGAAAGGCGAAACCTTTGGCCCTGCAACGTGGTAGTTTGGGCGTCGGGTTGATCCATCCAGACACCAATGTGACGTCTTGGAATGCCTTCCTATGTGTCATCGTGCCCTTAACGAGCAAACTATCTCTCTCTCTCTCTCTTTGCCTTTTTCCATCGATCCTGCTTATATGCTTTCTTTCCTGTCAAATTTGAACGACGCAATTTGTATGTACCGACAGATGAGGTAGTCGCGTTGATCTGATAAAGCTGGATAAAATATTTTCCGATAAACTTCCACCAAAGAAAAATCAGATAACGCAATCCTTGAGAACCATAAAAATAAACCTCCAGAGTCATCAATTAATTTCAAAGCAGAGAAAGCCACGCAAGAGAGAACAGTTCGGACACTCCCGTTTTAGTGACGAAAGGCAATCGGAAGAGCTGATCTGAATACTAGAAACCGACACCCACTTACAACTAAAGCCGGCGAAGGGATTATCTTGCTACACCCATCCCACCTAAGAGCTTATCAGCGCGCGGGGCGAAATACCATCATGTCAGAACTTCACGAAATCACTTCAGAGGCGGGCTTTCAAACGCACATATCGTCTCTACCCCCATCGGCACTCCTTATACTCTTCTTCCACACCCCATGGGCCGCCCCATGCACTCAGATGCGTACCGTTCTTCAAACGCTTGCCTCTCTATACAAACCCACCACCCCACCATCCATTTCCTTCATCAGTGTCGACGCTGAGGAGCTCGCCGAGATTTCAGAGCAGTACGAAGTAACAGCCGTTCCGTTTGTGGTACTAAGCCGGAATAATAAAATCGTTGAAAACATCTCTGGCTCGAACCCGATTAAAGTCCGCGAGGCAATTGAGAAGCATTACCAGGACCCTTCAAGTGCGGGTACGGCAGACAAGCAATCTATTCCTCCACCACTTGACGCCGTTCCGAGAAACATAGATGAAACACAGCAGAATGGTCAGATACCACAGGCTCCACCACTTGCAGGACAAGGGACAAATGGAGCTAGCGGCCGTGCGGCTGCCCCAGAGTCTTCGTCGAAGGAGGAACTCTTTGCCAGAATTGGGGAGCTTGTAAAGGCGGCTCCAGTGATGTTGTTTATGAAAGGTACCCCAAGTGTACCTCAATGTGGATTTAGCCGGCAACTCGTTTCTATTCTGCGAGAGAATAGTGTCAAGTATGGCTTTTTCAACATTCTTGCCGACGACGATGTACGGCAGGGTCTCAAGGAGTTTGCAGACTGGCCTACGTTCCCACAGCTATGGGTGAAGGGTGAGCTGGTTGGTGGTCTGGACATTGTAAGATATCCTCTTTCTCCATCATACCGCTTCAGTGAAGTTTCGAAGTACTAATTATGCTTTCTCCATAGGTCAAGGAAGAAATAGAAGCCAACCCCGATTTCCTTCGTGATTACTCTGTTCCAAAGACATCCTCCGCAGTACCTACTTAGGTACACCAGTTTCGTTGAACATGTGTTACAAATATTTTCCACTTTAAGCAGTTAATTGTATGCGTGTTATACAGTGTACTCAGAATCCATATTCACATTCCTCGCATAATTGAATTTTTTTAAAAAATAAGTTTGAGTATTAGCGTTGACTCGGCTTTTTGCTATCTTACATTTATTACCAAAATTTTGAATAATTCTATAAAATATAGATCATACACTTCCAGCATAGGAAGACGGAGTAAACTCCATTATAAACATATATATCATTAGTATATATTCAGAGTCTTAAACTTAGAGACAGCCACGTCGCTATCAATATAGCAACCGCGCAACCATCTGTCCCCGCCACTTTCATTATTTGCGTTACCAAACGCACGTCGAGCATGGACAACCCGTCGATTATGGAATATGACACATTCTCCCGGTTTCATCTTCAGTTCAAAGATGTTCTTCTTATCCTCAAGTAAGGACTTAAAGCGTTTCATTGACTCGGCACGACGGGTATACGTGCTCTTGGGTAGCCCGTTGCTAATGTCCCAAAAAGGCGCTTGGAACGGAGGGGAATAGTTTATATCTATAATCCTGTCCTTGGATTTACCAGCTACATTGATCATCTTCCGCGTGGCAGTGTACATCTGGTTGTCGTTGTCGTATCCAAAAGTCATCCAGGAGTCAGCAAGGAAATCGAAGTCAGGCTTGCTTGTTTTGCGAAGTACGTCTGCGGCATAGAAACTATCTGCAAAGAGAGATTCGCCTCCTGGCAGCTCATTTTTCATGCAATGAAGGAACTGAAGACCAGGCGGCTGGATAAGGTATAGCAAATCCATATGGAAGCCAAGGTCGACATTAGTGTAGGCGACGTTCTTTGGGTTTGGGATATTTCTAACATCCCAAGTTGGGCCATAGAATGTGTTTTTAATAGGGCCGATCTGAGTAGCGACCCTGGAAACGCTCTCCGTGTCCTCTGGTACGCCCCTTAAGAACAGTAAGCCATACCGGTTTAGTTGCATCATAGCTGATCGAAACGCCTCAGGATTGTTCATGTAATCGCCATAGGAGATCCAATGGTTTGTCTTTTCAAATGTTGACTTGTTCCAGTAGTAGGCCGGGTCTGCAGGCTTGGAGCCTAACTGCACGGTTGTCAACTTTTCGAGGTAGCTTGCTGGAAACGTAGAAGTATGGCCTTCAAATCCTTTAATATCCTTCGCCCACTCAATTGTAAATGAGTCTTCACCCTCAACAACACTTTTGGCGGTAATATCCAATGGTATCTGGGCAGTTTCAAAAGTACGCTGCTTTGTGGATGGATGAATACAGCGGTCACAAGGGCAGGAGTCCCGGAGATGCAATGGTTCGAAGTATATTATCTCTCCATTGACTTTGATTGGGATATGGGAGTCCATCTGGCGCCAGGAAACGGTAGAACCTGGAGAACTGCCCTTTTCCATAGTCTTAGGTGTTCTCCCGCGCACGCTCTGAACGAAGCGAATGTAGTTCCCTTTGGTAGATGTTTGTACTCCCTTCTTAGGAGCCAATTCAGCAGTTGCACCGGCATTCTCAGAGGCAATTGTAGAGGCATCACCAACTGAAGTCGGCTTTGTGCTGTTATGGCTTGCTACATTGGACGCAGGCTTCTGGGCTTCAGCCGCTTCAGATACTGTGGAGTATTTTGATAGATCCAGTGGTGCTCGACGGGAGAATGAGGCTGAAACCGAATCTGGCTGGCAAAACGCAGCCCTCCTAGGCCTGCAGACAAGCCGCAAAGCCCTTGAGCCGGCCACAAACATGGTCACTGAGTGTTGTTGTACTCTATATGCTGTAGTTGAAACTCGATGCTCCAAGTCTCGAAATGCATCTCGAGAAAAGGAAAGCCTCGGCATGAACAACCGCCTTACATAAGCAGAATTAAAGTCAATAACGAGTTCAAAGCTCAACAAAAAGTTTCTTGGGCGGAACTTTCGTCTCTAGCAGGCTGTCCGGGGCATTTTTCACTCACACTCGTTTCTGTCCGTTCTGGTTCCTGATTTCATGTGAAAGTCGGATCTTTGAGCCGCCTGTGCCTTAATTATAGCGGATTTTCCCCGGTTGTGGCCCTTTTCTTGATGCTGTTTGATGAATGTCGGCGGGTGGTGAGCATTTAAAGGATGAGGTAGGCAGTGAATTGTATCATACTCAATATGGCGTTCCAACGCTTCATCAGACTAATTGGGCTTTTTAATAGGGCAATCGAACTCAAGTGGTGGCCGCAGGTGCCATAGCCGGGCTTGTTTCGAGGTATTTGCACTGATGTGTTTAATCGCAGGAAGAGTGAGACTGATGGATACAAATCTAGATTCTGCATCGCGCCTCTAGACGTTGTAAAGATACGGCTACAACTGCAGATCCATTCTCTGTCTGATCCTCTTTCGCACCGTGATGTCAAGGGCCCGATATACAAGGGAACCATCTCGACTCTTGTCGCTATAGCGCGGCAGGAAGGCATCACAGTACGTCGTCTCAAGTAGCAATGCTCTCGCGCTTCCACGTTTCTGATACTAATAATCAAACACAGGGTCTCTGGAAAGGAAACATTCCCGCTGAAATCCTCTACATCTGCTATGGCGGAATCCAATTCACTGCGTATCGCAGCGTCACGCAACTTCTACACCTTCTGCCTCCTCAACACCGAGTCCCCAGCCCAGTTGAATCATTTATAAGCGGCGCCGCGGCAGGCGGCGTAGCAACAGCATCAACGTACCCGTTCGACCTGCTACGTACCCGCTTTGCAGCCCAGGGGAACAACAAAGTATACAATTCCCTTGTATCTTCTGTGCGGGATATATACCGCTATGAAGGAGCAGGCGGGTTCTTCCGCGGTGTTAGTGCGGCCGTTGCCCAAGTTGTTCCATACATGGGACTGTTTTTCGCTGCATATGAAGCGCTGCGGAAACCGATAAGTAGTGTTGATTTGCCTTTTGGGTCAGGAGATGCTACAGCCGGTATGATTGCGAGTGTTATGGCGAAGACGGGCGTGTTTCCGCTGGATCTTGTTAGGAAGCGGTTGCAGGTTCAGGGGCCGACGAGGTCGAAGTATGTGCATGTGAATATACCCGAGTATCACGGTGTGGCAAGCACTATCCGGACTATTGTGAGGACACAGGGTGTTAGGGGGCTGTACAGGGGCTTGACGGTGAGTTTGATCAAGGCTGCACCGGCAAGTGCTGTGACGATGTGGACGTATGAGAGGGTGATGGCGGTGTTGAAGGAACTGGATTCCGCGTAGTTGTTCCACTGTACCAGTAGCTTTCTTGTGTCTTGCCTCGGGGAGGGTTAGATGCTGGCGTTTTGGGGGGGCGGGGGGCTAGCTATAAAGGAACAGGTTATGTATCAGGGTTCCTGCATATAGTTACAGGTTGAAAAATATCTTACTGCCTTTGTACATATTCAAGAACTGAACTTGGCTTCACTACGTAAGGACGATGGTCGGAAAATAACTAATGGAATAGGTAAAGTATATTTATTAGTTGACGGATCCTTCAGTACGTCGTGGTAAAACACTTAATGGCATACTCTGCATACTAAAGAAGGAATGCGTGACAGTCAAGGTGTCCGCATGGGTGTGATCTGCGTGCTGAGCAAAAAAGGGGCAAAAGGTATAGTGTTAATTGACAAAATTAAAATCAAGGATATGGGGATATTGACGCAGCATAACAGCAAGAAGTAGTAGGGTGGGATATCAATTCTCCATTCTCCTGATTATTTTGGTTTTTTAAAATTCAAAGGGTCCAGGAAGAAAGAGAGGGCAAAAACGAGGCATAGATGGAGAGGGAGCATCTAGTATTCGGCACCCTCATCACCCTCAGTATCCAAGCTGTCGCTGGCAACTTCCTCGTAATCCTTCTCCAAAGCAGCGAGATCCTCACGGGCCTCAGAGAATTCACCTTCCTCCATACCCTCACCAACGTACCAGTGAACGAAGGCACGCTTGGAGTACATGAGGTCGAACTTGTGGTCGAGACGGTTCCAGGCCTCAGCAATGGCAGTGGTGTTGGAAAGCATGCTGAGGGAGCGGTCGACAGGAGCAAGCTCGCCACCAGGAACACGCATTGGCTTCTGGTAGTTGATTCCGAGCTTGAATCCAGTTGGGCACCATTCAACAAGGTTGAAGGAGGCCTTGGACTTGAGAGCGGCAACAGCAGCAGTGCAGTCGCGTGGAACAACATCACCACGGTACAGAAGGGCAACAGCCATGTACTTTCCGTTGCGTGGGTCACAGACGACCATCTGGTTGTTTGGCTCGAAGCCTATATAGACGTGTTAGCATCGTTGACAAAAGGATGAACAAATAGATGAAATACGCACACTGGAAGGTAAGGTCATGGACCTTGAAGGACTCGTGGGAGCTTCGGTTGCTGGAGACAACAGGAGCGTAGCTGATCAATGGGTAGTGGATACGTGGGTATGGCACCAAGTTGGTCTGGAACTCGTTGAGATCGACGTTGAGAGCGCCATCAAATCGGAGAGAGGAGGTGATGGAGCTGACAACCTGAGCAATCAAACGGTTGAGATGCTCGTATCCTGGACGAGGGATGTCAAGGTTACGGTGGCAGATGTCGTAGACTGCCTCGTTGTCGACCAAGAAGGTACAGTCAGAGTTCTCAATGGTGCTGTGGGTGGAGAGAACGGCGTTGTATGGCTCAACAACGGCGGTAGAGACACGGGGAGCTGGGTAGACGGCGAATTCCAGCTTGGACTTCTTTCCGTAGTCAGTGGAGAGACGCTCAAGGAGGAGAGCACCGAAACCAGAACCGGTACCACCACCGAAGGAGTGGAAGATCAAGAAGCCCTGGAGAGCAGAGCAGTTGTCTGCATGAGTTGTGATGCACTGTTTAGCACGGACCAATCACACGCGAGGGAGGGGCTAAATCTCACCAGCAACACGACGAATGCGGTCAATGACATTGTCGACGAGCTCCTTTCCGATGGTGTAGTGACCACGAGCATCTGTTTCCAGTTAGTACCCAGTGTTGGCTGAGAGATTGGCGTTGTTACGTACAGTTGTTAGCGGCATCCTCCTTTCCACTGATCAACATCTCAGGGTGGAAGAGCTGGCGGTAAGGACCAGTTCGGATCTCGTCAATTGGCTGTATATCTGGTCAGTCAAGAGCCCAATGGCACAGTATTGACCGCCACAGTACGTACAGAAGGGTCAAGGTCGACGAAGATCGAGCGAGGGACATATTTGTTGTCTCTGGTCTCGGTGAAGAAAGTCTCGAAGGAGCCTGGCTCGCCGATATCAGTGGCCTCGGGGTCGAGACGGCCATCAGCCTTCAAACCGTGCTCGAGGAGGTACCTGAACGCGTCTCTCGTCAGTCTCATCCATTCCATGCATGCTGAACCGGCTCTCCATCGTCCTTTCTTCTCGCTGTCGAGACAAGCTGGAGTCGTATTTTTTTTTTTCTGCCCAATTTCCCAATCGGGAGGGGGTAACGAAAGGCGGTGAACCTACAACTCCCAAGCACTGTTACCGAGCTGAGTGCCAGCCTGGCCGATGTGAAGATGGCAGACCTAATTGACGAGACAGCAGACAGTTAGCATGAAGCCGAAGCAGGTAGACAGGTGTCTGTCGACGGTCGTGTAATGGGGGGGACCGTGGACTCGGCTTGGGCAGCCAGAAGTTGGTCTGTGTTTGGGAGCTTGGGGAGGTCAGGGGTTCCCGTCAACAACAAACGAGCAGACCACGTACCTCGCCTCTCATGGTGACTGTAGGATGGTGATGACGACTGAGGGGAGAATAGAGAAAGGGAGAAAGGAGGGAGAGAGAGTCTCGTGTGTTGACAGAAGTCTTGTTGTGAAGACGGAGATGTTGAAGAGGAAGAAGAAGAGGAAGAGAAAGTCGAGCGCTTTCTTCCTCCCCTGCGACTTTCGCCCTTTCGACGGATCGACGTGTGCGCGCTAGTTCCCAATCCGGTTTGGGCGCTTTTCTCCCCCGTAAACAAGCTGACTAAGACGCCCTCCTTTCTCGCTGCGCTCCCTCTCCGCCGTCCTCTGCCTCCCGCCGGTTCTACCGTTCTACTCTTCTATCAAGGTGCGGGAGGCGATTACAGGTCGAGTGGTTATGCATAACCTGCTGCATGCGCTGCTTCAACAACGGCCTTGTTCTGTTTACTCGGCGGACGCGGGTCCTCCTCCATCCATGGCTCACGGGTCACGTGGCCCCATTACTCACGTCAAAATATAGGTTGAACCCCTTTTTTTTTCAGGGGAAAGACGTTGAGAGATAGGTCTATTTATGAGTCTTGAGACATTGCATTTCTTGGAAAGGGCATTGAGGAAGCATGCTCCGTACTGAGTACAGTTTCAACAAGAGAAACAGAAGGGCTCTGTGGATAGGCTAAAACTGTGGAATTGTTGTCACTGTGACAATCCTGTTCCTAGCGATGGAAATATCAAGGTTTAGGTTCGCTCAGGGGCTTATCTCTCAACGCTTTCACTTCGTCCGCCTTCTCTTCTCTGTACTCTGTTTGCCTGAGTCGAACGCACACTACGGGGTATTGTAGAATTATTTCGAGCAGTGTTTGGCATGGAGTTAACAAGGCCCATACATCAATGAATATGCAGAAAACACACGATAAGTTACCAGATGAGTGTCGGCGGTGAGAAGCATTGATTATATAATAGACAAAAGCTATGATGTTAATTCAACGAATCAAAAGCTGTCATATATATCATAATTGAAATTGCTTTTCTTCATTGGCTAATTTACAGTAAACGTCACCTTATTCGTTTATTTTATATTAAATGCTGACTAATAGCTTAATTTCTTTTGACAAGATGGGACCTGCAAAAAGCATTCATACCAACGCCTACTCCGTACACTAGCACGGTGATGAAGAAAGATTAAGAGTGATCTTAAATTACCTTACTTTCCACTGACTTGAATACAGTCCTGCTGTCTTTCCGCGTGGGTAACCGACTACGATGTCTGATATTGAGCCTGGACTCTGGAGTAGTTAACCGGTTAGTTATATAGGGACTTTGAGGAGAGTCATATCTTCCGCTGCGGCTAGGTATCTTCTGAAAAGCGGGACAAGAATAGAGCCAATTATGGCTGCATTCCTAACTACCTCGCTGGCCAAAACCATTATCAACATTAGCTTACTAGAAAATACAGAGTCTTTAATGCGCCAACTGGGACAGCCCACTGTGTAAAGAAGGTTTGGTTGATTAACGTGGTCAGTGCATAATTTTCAAAGCTCTAGATTTGTCTATGGAGAAGACGCTGGAACCATCAGACCATTAACCCTGTGCTGAAAAAAAACATAGAGCTGACACTGGGGTTTGCTCATATAAACAATCACACCCCATCGGCTTGTGCTCAATACCTTGCCCAAACCTCTCCAGGGTCCCTGTATCCTGCAGGAATGACTCTATAGAACACGGAGTAATAATGGAGTTATTCATGGGGGGGATGTACTCCGTAGGCAAAGTGATGTTACAGATAACTACGATGCATGTGCCTAGTATTAGATTTGCGGCAGGCCGGGCTAGAAAATCGACGAGCCCCCGGTCCTTCGGATGAATCGTGCACTCGTCTCTTGGATTTTGACCAAGCTTGGGCTCAATGGTGACACAGGTTGGGTAGCATTTACCAAGGACCCGGCTCGGGAGTCCCTGGTGTTAGGTCTAGAACTCTCCAAAGAATGGAAGATGTTACGGCTGCTGTAGTGACTGAGTATCTTCGTTGAGCCCGAGTATAAGATGAATTTCTGCCATCCAAAAGAATAGCTGGCCTCTAAACTGTCGAATATGCACAAGCGGTCAAATTTGTACTCAATGGTCCTCAGCGACACCAGCACATCCGATGGCGCCCGGACTTCTTCAATAGAAAACAAGACCAGCAACCACGGAGAGAAGATGTCCGAGTATGTAACTGCGTCACCAGTTGGTGGTCAAGGATGAGGCTCTTTTTGCCTCTTTCGGCTCTATTAAGCGCCATCCGCGGCTGAGCCGCTCCCAGCTCACCAACCTTAATAGTTACCTTAAAAGAGAGACGTCTTCTTATCCCGAAAGAAACACGAAGAGGAAGAAGAAGAACAAAGAAAACGAAAAGCTACTTACAAACCTACCGACCCGACAAAAGATGATGGAGTTTACGCAGTGTGAGGGTAACATCGAAGAAGGTTAACTGTCGGTTCCACCAGTTATGGAGACTGTGCAGCAGGGCTAGAATCCTAGCTTCTCCTCGGTGTCTGGGACCGTCAATCCTGACGCAGTTGTCGCAGTTTGCTTGGCTGTTCATGTGCGTGCTGCTATTACTCGTCCGCCGTCTCCGATCCATGACACAAGGTTGAGTTCTTGTCTGCAATAACACAATTGAATGTGATAAGATCGCCCTGTCTTTGCCACCCTGGAGAGCTCTAACACCACCGGGGCATCTTGTCCGAGACTGTCTTTGACGTGTTAGGCGAGAGAACAGGAAATTTATATGCCATGGCCAACGGGGCTCTGGCCAGGCCACTCTATATATATAACAGCTTCCACTCTTACTCTTGGGAATTGGTAGCAGCGGGTTTCCGAAGGCAGCTTTCGAGAGTTTTTGCCCCTGGTGCCCGCTTGTCAGTGGGAACGTTGATAAGTGGTGGAGTCGCGCCAAGGGGCCTGGGTAGTTATTTGTTCCCTTTTTTTACTCTTTGATGACGAGAGCTCCCGGTCGTCATTCACTCCATCGGGTGGGAAGACGCCCGTATTAATATGTCGGTAGATCCGCTGCAGGTAAAGAGGCCGGTTCCTTCCAAGATTCTTCAGGTTCTATTCAGTTCTATTTCTCTCCCACATCTCCGCGGATCGCTGGCGGTTCTTCTCGATCTCGACTCATCGCTGTTGCGACACGACTCCTCCGTAATCCCGTGGAAGGTCGAGACACACTCAAGAACAGGAAACTTGCCATCGATTCGATTCCTGTTGCTGGAATATATAATTACAAGCAAGGAATGTGTCTTCCTCGCTAGAAGCAGGACAAAGACTACGGACCTGATACAAGATGTCGACCCCAATTTACGAGGGCGCCCAGCCCAAGTACAACACTGGAACCGCATCCGACGAACAGCCTAGAGAGGCAGAAGCTGGCCAGCAGTACAACTTGCCCGTTGAAGAAGACATGGTGGATGATAAGGGGAACCGGGTGCAGATGCTCGTTGAACCTCCAGAAAACGACGAGCACGGGCTTCTGAACACTACTCCCTCGCAGGATCGAGAAAAGGCCAATCGTCTAAACGATGATATCACTATGCTGCAGGCAGAGCGCATGGTGTCCAACGCGGAAGCTTCGGATATAGAAAGGTCGCTCTCTATTCGGCCTGCCCGCTCTCACCGGACAGAGCCCGTGGATGAGTTTGACACGGCTACGAACCCCATCCATGAACATGCCTCGCTCTACAAACCACCAGAGAATCCTACTACCTCCATCGCTCGTTTCTTCAAGAAGGTCCACGAGTCAAGCTTTCTCGTACGCTATTTCACCTACATTATCCCGCTAGTGCTCATCATACTCATTCCACTGTTGCTCGGCGCCTTTGTCTTCAAGGATGCCACCGTTGGTGGCGTCAGCCTCCTCTGGTTCTCAGTCTGGCTGGAGATTGTCTGGCTCACCCTCTGGGCGGGTAGAATTGTCGCCAAATTTCTCCAATACCCTGTGGCCATCATCGCCAGTTTATTCACCAATAACTCGAAGAAGTGGCGGGATCTGTCCGCTCAATTGGAATTGCCAGCTTCGCTGTTCTTCTGGTGGTTAAGCATAGAAATCTCATTTTTACCAACAATGATAACCCACCATGTTGACGGGGACCGCACGGTTAAAAGGTGGGAGGTGATTGTGAACAAGATCATCATCTCGATCTTCGTCGGCATGACGCTGAATCTTATCGAGAAGCTGATAATCCAGCTTATCGCTATCAGCTTTCACTTGCGAACATACGCAGACCGGATTGAAATCAACAAGTTTCAGATCGGCAGTCTGGCTAAGCTGTATGCCTATTCCAGGGAACACACGACTATGAACGACTCGGATCTGGAAGAGAAGTCTGAAAAGCGCAGTTCAGGTACCAGAACTCCCATGATGTATGCTGACCGAGCCCAGAGAGCTGCTCGCGGAGCCCTCAGTAAAGTCGGAGACGTTGCCGGTGCGGTTGCAGGTGACTTTACCGGTAGACGTGTCAATTCAAGCAGGGATCCTCACCAGGTAGTCTTAACCCTACTTCGTTCTACTTCTGGAAGTCAAGTGCTAGCCCGTCGCTTATACCGCACCTTTGTTAAAGATGGCTTCGATACTGTTTTCGCTGGGGATCTCAAGTCAGCATTCGATAACAACGACGAAGCTGATGCTGCCTTCCAGATGTTTGATAAGGACATGAATGGTGACATCTCAATGGAGGAGCTGGAAGCTGTTTGCACTGAGACTGGAAAGGAGCGGAAATCTATCACTGCATCTCTCAAGGATCTAGACTCTGTCGTCTCCAAGCTTGACGACGTATTTTTCTTTATCGTTGTTGTCATCACTATCTTGGTTTTCCTATCCCTCATCTCAGCGTCGACCGCTGGAGTCCTTACATCCGCCGGATCAACTTTGTTGGCTCTATCCTGGCTTTTCTCTGCTACAGCTCAGGAGTTCCTACAGAGTATCATTTTTGTGTTCGTCAAGCATCCTTTCGATGTTGGTGATCGAGTGTCTATTTACGGTAATACTGGTGCAAATCTCACAGGAGACGATTATTTCGTTAAGGAAATTGCTCTCCTGTATACGGAATTCAAGAAGATGCAAGGCCATGTTGTCCAAGCTCCAAACAGCTATCTGAACACTCTCTTTATCCTCAACCAGAGGCGTAGCGGTGGCCTTGCCGAAGCTGTCCCTGTTATAATAAAATATGGCACCACGCTCGAGCAGATCGACGCCCTACGACAGAGACTCCTAGATTTCGTCACTTCGGAGAAGCGCGAGTTCCAGACCCAGGTGTTGACTGAACTTAAGGAGGTGACGGAGAACTACTCTATCACACTCAACGTGGTCTTCTTCTACAAGTCAAACTGGCAGAATGAACTTCTTCGTCTGCAGCGCCGTAACAAATTCATTTGCAACTTGATGATCTGTTTACAGGAGCTCAACATTGAGGGACCACGCATGAACCTTGTCGGATACCGATCTGATCTTCCAGCTCATATCGCTCATCAAGGTGCTCCGCCACAATATACAACCACTCCTGTTTATGGTGCCAACACCCCTGGAGGGATGACGGATGTATCGCAGACGTCAGAAGCACGCGATGCCCTGGGTGATCTAGCTTCATCCTCGGCTGTACAGCCTCCACACCATACCCAGTCTATCCTTCGACACCGTGACCGATCCGGGACGACGGCCTCAAATCGATCCCAGACCAGTACTCACAAACGAGTTGACTTTTCCCTCGGCATGAAAGCCTTGAGCTCAGACGACATGATATCGGATGTATACTGGGACCGTGGTCATCGTGTAGAGGATATTGTACGCTCTACTAACCTCGAAGCAGCTGAACGCCGCCAGCAAGAAAAAGACTCTCAAGAGCGAGCTAATGCACCTCTGGAAAGGACCCCAACTAATCTGAGAAGCTCAAACGACTCCCATCGCCCCAACTTCTCCCAGTCAAGAGGAAGTGTCTCTTCGTCTGTCTACCGGAGTCGGTTTTTCGGTCGTATGGGAAGCGGTAGAGGAACACCGTCACGGAGTCGAACGCGTGACGGAGGCGGCCGGTATGAAGACCTGGAACAAGGACGATACCACGCTTCCGTGGCAGATGAGGAGTCTGGCCCGGCTTCGGCCCCAACCCAAGCATCAGCTCCCCCAGCTCCTGGCCCAGATCAACCTCGAACTCTAGACCCACGTTCTGGCAGCGTGGACACCCAGGGAATGTACGATGACGGCCAGACTCAGGGAACTATGTGGTCAGCTGGCGTCGAGCGACACCCAACCCACGGCTCCGAGCGGCCACTGGACGAAAGTTACGAACTGCCTAATTATCAGCGACAATAAGACAAAGAACTCTCTTTCACTGTTACTTATTGACACCTTGCTTTTTTTGATTTTTGTCTTCCCTTCGTGCACATACCTTTTCTACTTCATACGGTTCGGAAGCCTGGCAGCTAACTACAAGCTCACCTCGTGTTACCTCCCTCCTTCAAGCCTTTCAAAATCTGCTTCATACTCGCTCTCACCTTTAGCGCGTTGGATTTCCAAGTGTCTTTTCGAATGTTTAATAATATATTATCAGCCAGCCACTATAGCAATAGATTCCATGACAACTTAAGTATGCAGGATGAGCTGAAACATCCAATGACTGACCCTGCTTAACTACACCCCTCCACAATTCTCGGCTACATGTCTCAGCTGCAAGTATGCGTACGTCTCTGCTGCACTTTCCGCCCTACCGTCTATTGAGTATTGTCCACGGGGGCCCCTGTCTGTCAGTAATGATTAAAGGGGAGGTTCTTGTTGTTTTCGCCCTACTACAGCTCAATGCTCATAAAGTCTACTACCGCCAAGCCTCCCGAACAATGGAAGCGTTCTTTAATTGGCCAGAATAGCCGCCAGCGCAGTAACCGATAACTCCTGCTCGGCTAAAAAGGAACATATTTACTGGAGATGATACTCCGTACAGCCGTTGGAAATTGATTACCTATGTTACGAAAGCAAGATGGGTGCGCATTTCAGAGTAAAGCCTTCGGTACCCTGTGGTTCGCAATGATAGCGATTGAGGAATCAGTTACATATGTACATTATCTAAGCCTGCAAAATCGTCAACAAGGTACTTTTAAACACAGTGCCGGTCTCCTCTGATCCAAGTGGCCAGCCACTCGCTTGTACCACATCTTATCCCTTACATCAACCCGCTTGTCAAGCTGCCTGTCAAGCTGTCTGCCAACCTACCGCCTGCCCGGGCCCCCCTGATGCCTCGGTCCGTCTTGCATCCGCCATCACGCCAAGCCGGAACGGAGCGTTTCTTCTGCTTAATCAGCTGTATTGAAGCGTGTAATTTTGCTGTACACGATACATACGATACGGCGGGTAGCGAAAAGCCGCTTCCGTTCTCCTCCTGCACGAAACTCGGCCATCCCACGCAAGCTGCTCGCTCCATCTGCAGCCCCTTTTCGCCATCGCCTGACTCAGGAGCCGAGAGAGATGTCGACAGAGACGCCGTGCACTATATGGGGCACTTGGCTTGGTGTCCCAGACAATGGGGATCGTGGGTAGTCTCGTCTATTGTGCGATATCGTGCTGACATGCCATGTAGGACCGCCATGTGCTTTACGGTGCACAAGTCAATGTACACAATAATGAAGAGATGCATCTGCACGGGCCGTGCCTTGTGTGGTAGATTTACATGTCATATCTCACTGTTTGCTGCCAGACAGCGGGTACATAACACCAGTCTTGACACTCGGACTCGGTCTGGGACGCCTAAGCGGTCGCCACAGGCCAAAACTTTGCTCCTGGCCTCCACACAAGCACAGATGCCCTTGGTTGTCTATCGGATATGGCTGTTTTCCGGCTTCCGTGCTTGCAACAGTCGTTCGGTGGCGTATGATTGGGCCCTGAACATACGCTGGTCGGTCAGGGTCCTGAGATCGCAGCGTTTACTGTTCGGGGCAACCATCCCGGAACGCGGATAAGCATCGGTTCCAATATGTCAAGGAACGGCATGGGGTACTCCGTACGTGTTGTCTTTTTACTTCTTCCTTACTTTTGATCATCTTCTATTTCTTCTCCCTCCTCTTTCCTTCATGCAGTTCTCGTGGGTTTGGATCTTTGTTGTTTTTCTTTTTTATACCGGTGGTCGTCTCTTCCGGGTATATTTTATCAATTCCTAATAATATAAATCTCTACCAACTTTTAATCCGAACTTTCGTGCATCACTGCATGTCTATTTCCCTTTGACCAAAGTGCTAGACATTCGTTTTGAAGGCTAGAGGAAGAAATCAACATCAATACATACCCATTACCCAATCACACCCCTGCTACATCACCGATTAATATAGTCGTCCATACTTCCGGCAGCATAGGAGGTGCTATCGTCCATAGAGATCAGCAGCATGGCTCCGGCAGAGGAGACCAATGTTACTAAACCCACAGGGGAGCTCAGACCGGACGAGAAATTGAACTATGAAGAAGATGTTGAATGCAGCGGATCGAGCTCGACGACAGTTGGAAAGACCGCTTATGATACCGATGACATCAGTCAATCACAGGCTGCCGAGCTGCAGGACCTAGCCCGTCAACTCTCCAGAGCCTCTCGCCAGGGGGGTCTAGATGTTGAGAACGAACCCCAGCAAGTTATCAATCCGTTCCTGGACTCGGAGTCGGATCCTGAGCTTAATCCGGATAGCAAGAGCTTCAATGTAGCCAAATGGCTTAAGACTATCCTCCAGATTACATCAAGGGACCCGGAGAGGTTTCCCAAGCGTACTGCGGGTGTGTCGTTCCGGAATATGAACGTCCATGGCTACGGAACTGCAGCCGATTATCAGAGTGATGTTGGGAATCTTCCGCTTAAGGCATGGAGTGGTATCATGAGTATGCTTGGGCTACGGAAGAAGGTCCGTATAGATATTCTGAGAGACTTTGAAGGTCTTGTCAAGAGTGGCGAGATGCTTGTAGTCTTAGGACGCCCTGGAAGGTATGCATATTTTATTGCTATTTGTTTATTGGCACTTGTTAACATCCATATAGCGGTTGTTCAACCCTTCTTCGGACACTATCGGGTGAGACTCACGGTCTCTACCTTGACGAAGGCAACGATATCCAGTATCAGGGTATCTCCTGGGAGCAGATGCACAAGAACTTCAGGGGAGAAGTCATCTACCAGGCTGAAACTGAAACTCATTTCCCCCAGATGACCGTGGGAGATACCCTTTACTTCGCTGCTCGCGCCAGAGCTCCTGCAAACAGACTGCCAGGTGTCTCCCGAGAGCAATATGCCATACATATGCGCAGTATGGTCATGTCAATGCTTAGCCTGTCGCACACCATCAATACCCAGGTCGGCAACGAGTATATCCGTGGTGTATCTGGAGGTGAGAGGAAGCGAATAAGTATTGCAGAGACAACCCTTAGCGGAAGTCCTCTACAGTGCTGGGACAACAGCACCAGAGGCCTTGACAGTGCCAATGCCCTTGAATTTGTCAAGTCGCTCCGCTTGTCTACTAAATACTCCGGAACCACTGCCATCGTTGCCATCTATCAGGCCGGTCAAGCAATCTACGACGTGAGTTCTGCTCGTTTCTTTTGAGGAATTCTAGTAGCAGCTAACACCTTCTATAGATCTTTGACAAAGCGGTTGTTCTATACGAGGGACATCAGATCTACTTTGGAAACGCTGTCCGAGCAAAAGAATACTTCATCGAGATGGGCTTTGACTGTCCTAGCAGACAGACCACTGCTGACTTCTTAACGTCAGTCACCAGTCCGTCCGAACGGAGAGTCAGGCCTGGCTACGAGTCTCGTGTACCCCAGACACCGGCTGAGTTTGCTCAGCGATGGAAGGAAAGTGAAGACAGACGAATTCTCATGCAGGAGATTGATGAATACAATAAAACCTACCCGCTACATGGCGAACAGCTACAGAAATTCCAAGCCTCTCGGTCAGCTGAAAAGTCCAGGTCAACCAGCAAGTCCTCGCCATATACCCTCTCTTACCCCATGGAGATCAAACTTTGCATGTGGCGTGGATTCCAGAGACTGAAGGGAGACATGTCCATGACCCTGACCTCCATTATTGGAAACATCGCCATGTCCCTGATTATTGCCAGTGTGTTCTATAACCATCAAGAAACCACTGACAGCTTCTTCTCCCGTGGCTCTCTCCTTTTCTTTGCCATTCTCATGAACGCCTTTGCTAGTTCCCTGGAAATTTTGACCCTCTGGCATCAACGGCCCATCGTGGAAAAACATGATAAATATGCTCTATATCATCCATCCTCTGAAGCCATCAGTTCTATACTCGTCGATATGCCTGCAAAATTGGCCGTGGCTGTCGTGTTCAATCTGATCATATATTTCATGACCAACCTGAGGAGAACGCCTGGTCACTTCTTTATCTTCTTCCTCTTCTCCTTCACCACGACCCTGACCATGTCTAACGTTTTCCGTTCCATTGCTGCCGTGTCTCGTACCTTATCCCAAGCTTTGGTTCCTACCTCAATCTTTATGCTTGCGTTGGTTATCTACACTGGTTTTACCATTCCAGTTCGTGATATGCGACCCTGGTTCAAGTGGATCAGTTATATCAACCCCATCCAGTACGCGTTTGAGTCCCTCATGATCAACGAGTTCCATGACCGAGAATTTAAATGTGCTGCCTATATACCCAGTGGTCCCGGATACTCCAATGCCTCGGGAACATCCAAAATCTGCGCAGCAAAGGGAGCAATGGCTGGGAATCCAACCGTCAGCGGTGATGTCTTCCTCCGGGAAACATATTCTTACTACGCATCTCACATGTGGAGGAATTACGGCATTATAATTGCTTTCTTCGTTTTCTTCCTTTTCGTCTACATCACGGCCACGGAACTCGTATCTGCTAAGCCTTCAAAGGGAGAGATTCTCGTCTTCCCCAAGGGGAAGGTTCCGGCATTTTTAAAGCAGTCTAAGAAAAAGCAAGACCCTGAAGCCGCATCCCCACAAGAAAAGCAGCCAGTAGAAAATTCTGGCCATGACCAAACTGCTACCATTGTGAAGCAAACATCTGTATTTCATTGGGAAAGTGTGTGCTACGATATCAAGATCAAAAAGGAGACAAGACGTATCCTGGACAATGTCGATGGATGGGTTAAGCCTGGTACTCTTACTGCCTTGATGGGTGTGTCTGGAGCCGGAAAAACGACTCTCTTGGACGTCCTTGCAAACCGTGTTACCATGGGTGTTGTCACTGGTGAAATGCTCGTTGACGGTCGTCTCCGTGATGATTCATTCCAGCGTAAGACCGGATATGTTCAGCAACAGGACCTCCACCTGGAAATCAGCACTGTTAGAGAAGCATTAACATTCAGCGCCTTGCTCCGTCAACCTAACACTACCCCATATGAGGAGAAGGTTGCCTACGTCGAGGAAGTTATCAAGATGTTGGGAATGGAAGAATACGCCAATGCTGTCGTCGGTGTCCTAGGCGAGGGTCTAAACGTTGAACAGCGCAAGCGCCTTACCATCGGTGTTGAAATTGCGGCTAAGCCTGACCTCTTGCTCTTCTTCGATGAACCTACCTCCGGGCTTGACAGTCAAACGGCCTGGTCAATCTGTACCCTGATGAGAAAGCTTGCGGACCACGGACAAGCTGTCTTGTGTACTATTCATCAGCCCTCTGCTATGTTGATGCAGGAGTTCGATCGACTCCTGTTTTTGGCTTCTGGAGGACGAACCGTTTACTTTGGTGAACTAGGAAAACATATGTCTACTCTCATTGAATACTTCGAGAGTAAGGGGGCCCCCAAATGCCCTCCAGACGCAAACCCTGCCGAATGGATGTTAGAAGTCATTGGTGCCGCTCCTAGCTCGAAGACCGACATAGATTGGCCGGCCGTTTGGAGGGACAGTGCAGAGCGTGTCGAAGTTCGTCGTCATCTTGCAGAACTAAAGTCAGAGCTCTCACAGAAGCCCCAAACTCCCCGGTTGGCTGGATACGGTGAATTTGCTATGCCCTTGTGGAAGCAATATCTCATTGTCCAGCACCGTATGTTCCAGCAGTACTGGCGTAGTCCTGACTACATCTACTCGAAAGCCTGTCTTGCCATTGTTCCGGTATGCTAACATCCCCTTTCCCTTGATTATACTAGTTTGATCACTAACATATCACTATAGACTCTATTCATTGGTTTTACCTTCTACAAGGAACAAGTCAGTTTGCAAGGTATCCAGAACCAAATGTTCGCCATTTTCATGTTCATGATTCTCTTCCCCAATCTTGTACAGCAAATGATGCCCTACTTTGTCATCCAACGATCTCTTTACGAAGTCCGCGAACGGCCCTCGAAAACATACTCCTGGATAGCATTTATGATATCATCAGTCATCGTTGAAATACCCTGGAATGCCCTCCTAACTGTCCCCGCCTTCTTCTGCTGGTACTACCCCATCGGCTTCTATAAGAACGCAATCCCAACCGACTCCGTGACTGAACGAAGTGGCACCATGTTCTTACTTATCCTGATCTTCCTCATGTTCAGTTCAACATTCAGTTCCATGGTTATTGCCGGTATCGAGCAAGCGGAAACAGGTGGAAACATTGCCCTGCTTTGCTTCTCCCTAACCCTCGTCTTTTGCGGTGTCCTCGTTAGTCCAACCGCCATGCCCGGATTCTGGATCTTCATGTACCGCTTATCTCCATTCACATATTTCGTTTCAGCCGTATTATCTACTGGAGTTGGAAGAACAGATATTGTGTGCGCTGCCAACGAGATTCTCCGTCTTACCCCGGCTGCAGGACAAACGTGCATGGAATACCTGGGTCCTTACACTAAATTTGCTGGAGGCCGAATTCTTACCCCTGATGCCACCGACATGTGCGAATTCTGCGCTGTTGCCGATACGGACACCTTCCTGAAGGGGGTTAACATCATCTTTGATGAACGCTGGAGAAACATCGGCATCTTGTTCGGATATATTGCCTTCAACATGGTCGGTGCCATCGGCTTGTATTGGCTTCTCCGTGTCCCCAAGAGGAAGTCTGGCGTGAAGCAGGGACAGCAGCCACAAAGGCAAGAAAGCGAGACAAAGGCATAGTTGTATTCCAATTGGAATACTCGATGCTATTCCGTGGCCCATGAGCCATTGCACATATATTACTTTTCCACCTTTGATATATACACACTGCACTCCCCTCCAAAAGCTACGACAATCTTACCTTTTCATGTCTTGCAAATAGACTAGACTTTCATGCCAATACCCTTCTTCACCTCTTGTTTTTTAATCCTACTAGATCTGCATATCTTAATGTGTCCCTCAGAGTCACTCTGGGGCTTTGCTGTATATCATACTTTGTCCATGTCTCAGTTATGTTGCTTTCTCAATGGCTACTCCATTTTCTTGATCATTCTTCAGTTTCAAAAATATGAATCCAACCCGGGGGAATATCAAATAGAATCCCAGACTCCTCCGCCACAAGGATATCCTAGTATTCGTTGTCCCTAATTCACTTCTTCCGGTGATCCAGCTACCATGCTACTGGTAATTTCGCGCGTTCAACACATGTGTAGCTTTTACACTGTCCATTAACGCAAATATGTTATCGAAGAGTTTACAGGTCACATATTGTATGTATGTAGGGCTGGCGTATGGGATATGATTTGAGAGATCTTAATCTCGACGAGAATCCGGGCTATGCAAACATCTTGCTTGGATTCTTATCCGTCAGATAGAATTATCACTCTAATACATTCAGCTCCACCCTGTGCGGTCGATCGCCGAAAAATTCGGTGGTTCTGTGGTGTCCTTGACAAGTTGGAACCTGAGCGGCTGATTTCGTCCTGGTTGCACCGGGTATCATGTCCATGGCCAGAGAAGCAGGTAGCTGGAACGCTGTGTACACATCTCTAGCAAGCGAATGTTGAACCCCCTTGTGTCTGATGTCGTGTTTGAAATGCTGGAACCAGTGCTATTATTAGAATCGTGTAACTATTTTTCGTTTGTATGATGTAGTCAAATATAAGAGACATAAGGAAGACATTATCTCCAGAGAATCTCCTCCCATCCTCTTGGATCTGCTTGGCTTACTACCCCGGTGTTTTCTGTTAACGGGCCAAATAACTAGTCTTATTGGGCGGGGAAAGATGTGTCCCGTCTTCATGTAGATGTCGGTATCGAGAACGAGATTGTCGTTTATTTTGCAAGTGAGCAACGATAGCATGATTCGCAGAAATAACCGGTTTAAGCATCACGGAAGGTTAACTAGTTAGTTATTTGACAGCTGGAATGTTAAGAGCCATCTGCAAAGTACGCATGAATTGCTCTGTTTGGAGTTGACCTGTAGTGTGTAATTCGTCTGAAAATGAAGGTTAGTTTCTAAGAATAGGAAGTCAAAAATAGAAACTGGACCCAAAATAACTCTTGACTTAGCCAGTAACTAACTCCAGAGGAGTTATTGCTTAACTCCACACCTGTCAGTGGTTAACTAACTCCGGGTGGACAACAGATAGCAGACAGCGTCTCCCTTACGTCCTCAGAGTACGTATGCTGCCCGCCGTCGACGGTATGCATCACCATATCGTGTTATCCATGAATGTGAGCCTCCCACACACCCCGTATATTCCATGTATAAACTTTCGAGCTGTGATGACATCTTGTGGACAAGGAGTAAGATTTTAGAGCGAAAATATTTTGGTTCAGAGCAAAACTCCAAAATTAACACCCATATTTATTAATAATTGTGCATATTTTCTGATGAGTCACGCACGGGAGAGAAGGCATCTTGCATGTGTAACGAGATGAATCGTCGTGATTCGATCGGTTACCATGGCTGTGGTCAATAGCCTATTTTACCTTGCTCAGGTTTGGTTTATTTTTAACTGCCTTGCCGCCTTGAGACAAAGACCGCATAGCCAGCGAATTCTCAAAGTTTTAAGGCACCCAGTGTGTAGCGAATAGGTTCTGAAAGTAGAGGGCCAAAAGAAACAAACTTTTCCTCCGGATTCTTCTCCGTCTTCCGCAGAGAGCGAAAGTAGTGAGAAAGTACTCAGTACAGAATGAGGCCAAACTCTTCTTTTCCTCAGCTCGGGTAGGCAAATTATGTCAGTAGCGGGATTTTCTCTTTTCTCATTCAGCTTTCGCCCAAGCCAGCGTACTATTCGCCTGCTGCATGCAGACCCCTGTTCAGCTGACATCCGAGGCATCCACGGCGCTTAAAAGGAAAAGAAGCTGAACGAGTGATGAACGAGTGATCTGCGGTACGTCCAAGCAACGGAGTCTGCCCGTCAAGCCAGAGTGCGGCAGTGCGTACGGAGTATACTTGAGAGTGTGCCCTGTGTTCCGCAATGCACTGGGGCACTGGCTCATACGGAGTACTCTGTGACAAAGCGATGGGAGGTTTTCGGCGTTATGATCTGGGCGGTAAAACCGACGTAAAGGGGGAAGGGGGAAGCGAAAGGCCGAGAAAACAAATATATTTGAATCATTTCTTCTTCCTTGGGTGATAGTTGAGTCTCGAGTTTTTGGGATGATCGGAATGGGCGGAGGAACTCATCCACGCGGACTAACTGGACTCGTGGGAGAGCCAACCAAAATGGTAAGTTAGAGGGGGAGGGAAAACATTGCTGTTTCTTTGCTTCTTTCGCACAGTGTAACTAACTGATTTGACAGAGTAAGAAATTCAGGTTATTTTGCTTCATTCCTCATCCTTCTAGAAGGGGGCCAGATTCTCATGCAGGACTGTTTCATAACCTTCCTGCCAGTCCAGCAGATGAGATATGAGCAGTTACCGTATTTGCCAGTCTGCCATACCCTGGTGCGTATGGACTGCATGGCCAACCAGTACTGGTTTATCGAGTTTCAATACATTGTTTGGTGGTGTGTAGGACAGCTGAGAGTGCCAGATGACAAGAGAACTCTGTTGTTGAGTAACTGAGCGTAAACGATGGGAGAGATCCCCGTGGGGGCCAGGAACCTTTTCGAATAAGCTCGAACGCGGCCCTTCGGTCGAAATCAGTCAATTTGTCCGTTTAACCCCAAAGGCAGTCGGTCAGCCTTTCGCAATCTTCTCTCAACTCCGCCGGATGGAAGGGAAAGGTTCACCACCACCACCACCACCACCTCGACTTGCTCTCTCGCATAGTTAGTTATCCGTCTGAACCACGGGTCCGTTGCGCCGATTATGCATGGAAAGAAGGATCGGCTTGCGACACAAAGATCACAGCGTACCTGAGAGTAAGAGTCTTATTAACTTTCGAAGTTGACCAGCGCCCGGTTCAGGCTAGAAAGTCAGTCCGTCCCACGTTTAGAGCACCGCCCGACTCTTCTTGGAACAGACTCTTGTGTCTCGTCTCCTCCCGGTAAATCGTCGATCAGGACTTTTGAGTGTGGTACAGGAAGAGATGCCACTGGCCCTGATCTTGTGTTCTATAGCATGTAAGGCAGCAGATTCTCACTGCATGGGAGCTATCTGCCTTAATAGCCAAACCCTACTCCGTATAGTTGTATGGTTAGCCTGATTGATGTGCACAGCCAAAAAAACGCGGCATCCGGGGTATCTCGTCGGTGATTTGACGAGCTCACCATCAGCAATCCTTGCGAACCCTGCCTCCTCCAGCAAAGGGCGGCATATATCGAAGGTTTCTGGCGTGCAGAAGCCAGAGGGATGAACCGTCAGGCCTCATTCCCACAAATCACCAGCACAGCCCAATGAACAGCCAACTTCGCCCGGAGGAGACACCGTCCTGAGCCCGTCGCCGGACAGATGTCCATCTTCGATGCGTCCGTGTCTCCCCTCGACCTCCGTGAAGCTGCAGATGCACCGAGAAAGAAGCAAAAGACGTAGAAGCAGAAGACGCAGAAGACGCAGAAGAAGCAACGGAGGTTGCGATGCGCCGGCAGAAAAGCAAAGGCGGTGTTCCCTTTCCGGTAATTGCTACGACCAACTCGACGAGGGGCTGTAAATGTTAGAAACTCGCACAAGAAAAGAAAAACAACGGCCGCTTCAGGGCCACAGTTCTACGCTGGATGGAGACCGCGAGGCATCGAGACACTGAGCTGATGAGAGGGATGTGATGCTGGGGATCGACGTCTCGCGATGGAGTTGAGTCTGCTTGCAAAAGCGTCGCTGTCACTATTATCTCCCTCGTGCTAACAAGTCCATATCCATATAGAAGCAGTCCACGAGTTAACTTCTCTCCAACCTCCCTGGCAGATCTCTGATCCTCCAAAAACACAGCCCGCTAGGGGGTGACGACAGGCATCCATGCTCTGCCACGCCTTTGAATTGCGCCCGGTCTGCGGTCTGCGGGGAGGGGGGGAAGAAGGGCCTTCTTGCATTGGCTGATTCGTGGTATGGCCGGACGCCTGGATGCCGAGAGCAATGACATTGCTGCACAAATTACTGATTACAAGAGTACTGAGTGCGAGGAGACTGTCCTCGCTAGACGTGATTGGAGAGGACCGCAGAACCTGCCCTGCCTCGTACAGTTTCGTCCTGGCTGAAGGATCAGACTTTGAAGATGAAACTCGTGTGGGACAAGGTCCAACTCGGTCTCCTCGGGGCGACCATGCATATTTTTCTGACAGGGGGGAGGGACGCCCTTTTTTTTTTCAAAAGCACAAATTCCAAATAGTATTTGTTGCACATCCTGGGTACCATGGAGTACATGGCACACAGTCCCTCTGCTCGGGAGATGCGGTCCGAATCCTCCTATTCAAAGTTTTAATCCTCATCCAATCGTTCCTCCCGCTTGGACGAGAGGGTATCCACCTTTACGAGCAATAGCGGCCTTCAACACGTGTTTATGATCCCCAGCTCAAGGGTAGAACCTTGATCTTGAAGGTTTGCCTGTCAGCTCTTGATAATAATCATAATACTTCTTACTTATATCCCGCAGTAATGGACTACCAAGGGCGGGTTGTGGGACCTCTGAGATAATAATAATAAGAATGGTACCATGCACATACTGGAACTCGATCCTACACATGGCAAAAACAAAATCCAAAAACGAGGAATGCCTGCAAATCCTGCAGACTCAACTCAGCAGCAGCACTATACATATAGGGTCCATTACTATGGGACTTGCCCTGTCCCCCTG